TGACGGTTTGCGCACCTCAGCGACCCAGTGATCTATACTGGGGGTGTCCCCACGACAGTCTCTCATACCAGGCTGGTCAGACCACATTGGCCTTCGAATGGTTCCATCAGCCGGACTCGCTTGGCATTGATGTGCTGTGTCTCAGGAACAAAAATTCAAGATGCAAACAGAGTGGTTGATCTAACCGCCCCATCGCTCTCCACTCGCTTTCGGCTACGCACCTCTGGTGAGGCACAAGCTGCCGCAGCGGGATGTGCAGGGGTTGGTATCGTCCTAAGTCACCGGGTGGAAGTATCCTTACTTGACTGGGTACCTGTTGATAATCGCCTCTGTGCGGTTCGTCTGGCAACGTCTGTGAAGAAGTCTCACAAGCGGGAAGCTGATGGATGGATGTTTACCGTGTCTGCGACCCAACCAACCGTCAAAGACAGGTTTTACGACGCCCTGTTGTGGTGAGCTAGAAGCCCATATACTGTGGGGTTGCCGGAGATCTGAATGTATAAGGAGGCAGGCCTAGCGCATCCCACACTCAATTAGGAGGTCGACATGGATTTTAATATGTACTTATGGACAACGGTGAACGATTGCCCCAGGTGTGTGCTGATCGCAGGCTGTTTTTCTGCAGTGCTAATTTCCGAAGGAGCCGAAGTCGTCTGGCCACATGGTGTCCTTCAGCGGCATACCGGCCACAAACTCAAATCGATCACGTTGCTATCAGCTAGATCAATAACTGACTGTCGGTCGTTTTGGAACACATTTGTGGACTCTGACCACGCACTTGTCCGGAGTTGTTTTTCCTTCCATTTTCCTGGGCCACGTAAGGTGCAGGCAAATCGTTCGAAAACCGAGAGACTGGCAGAGTCGGATGTCAGACGAATTTACCAGAGCCGTCTTTTAGAGTCCTTTCAAATACTCCACCATCGGATGTGAACTCATACTGTGACCAGATTGCCACCTCTTTGCATAGGACTGGGAATTTCGCCTGCGGCACGGCACCACCAAGCGCACTCAACAACTGAATATCAGACCGAACGGTGGCACTGCCTAAATCTCGGAGAAATATCCCGGCCGGTCCGGAACATAACCTGGTGCAACGAATTATCAGACGTCAAGTGAAGCGTGCGAGCCGACCGTAAACTATAGTGGACACAGAAAGCCAAAGAAATGGAAGAGGACCAGAAAGCCGGTAATATCCGAAGAGTATTTCAGTTAATCCGTGCGACCGGCCCTCGGAGACCACCTGCGAGCGAAACCATCAAGGATCGGGATGAAGTAAACATCTCGAATAAAGAACGCCTCGACCAATGGGCCGATGAGCAACAATTATCATGGCCAGCAGCTGGCACCCATCTGGAGCCCACAGGTGACGTAGAACCCCGGACGGTGAACATGAAACCGCTTATGGCCTCGGGGATTTATGACTGCATATGTTCTCTTAAGCACCAAACAGTCTCTGGTCCGAATGACCTCCCACCTGCATTGCTCAAAGATGGGGGTGATGTCCTCAGTCAGCGCTGGTCTGATCTGTTTGCTTGCATTTGTGAAAAGGAGTCTGTCCCAGGCAACCGGAGAGAGTCGGTGATAGCATCCATTTCCAAAAAAGAGGCTCGCAGTGAGCTTGACCCCAGTTGTAACGAGACTACTGGCATCACTTGTGCTTCGTCGCCTTCTGGTGGCTCGTGGAACACTGACTCGAGAGAAGCATGCGCGATTCCGGCCTGGTAGGGGTTGCGTTGACAAAATGTTTATACTCCGTTAGGTGATATGACAACGCCATATGTATAGGCGACTCACGATTCCAGTATTCCTGGATTCCCCAGATGCATTCGACTCGGTTGATCAGTCTGTTCTTCTTGACACGCCTGCCCAACAAGGAATGCCCGTAAGTTTATGAACATAATATGTTCTTTGGATAATCAGACTCCCGGGTGTGAGAGCGTATGGAAAGCTCTCCAAGGGCTTCCGTAAAAAAGCATTGTCAGGGATGTCCATTTTTTTTTAAATTCGTGATCGATGAGATAATGAGACGAACGCTGGAAGGTCTCCAAAACCCCGGTGTTCAAAAAGCCTGTGAAGAAATCTATATGGAATATGCAGACGACATCGTACTTATCTTCGAAGAGAAGGTGCATGTGTTTATGGGTGAAATGACCAAAGTCATCCCTTCGCTTGGTATGCATTTTGCACCTACACAGTGTGAGGTCATGCTCTGGACATGCAGTTACTAAATGCGCCACTTACAATCAATGAAAAGACACTCGAAGCTGTGGTGCGTTTTACGCATTTTGGAAGTTGTATTAGTTCTGATTGTAGTGTGACAGATGAGATTCTACAAAGCTCCGGTAGCGTTTGCTAATTTGAGACACCCATGGTGTCAGAGTGGTGTATCCCTGAATCTCAGAGAACGTGTGTCAAGCTACAGTGCGGGCTGCTTTGTTGTATGGATGGGACTTGGCCTGTTCGAGCAGTGATACTGAGACGTCTTCAGGTGTTCAACAATCATTGTCTCGGAACCATAGCTCGTGTGGGTTGGTATCCGCGAATTCGTAACGAGGCAATTAGAAAGCGAGTCTTCGGTTATGCAACGGGGACTTCCACTGAAGAATGTGTCCATCACCAGAAGCTGTCTTGGTTGGGACATGCCTAGCCATAGTTTGCCGATTAGAGTGCTGTTTTCCATGCCAAACTCAGATTTGCGGAAGCAGAGAGTATGGCCAAATCTTGACATGGCCAAAGGTGTTTTCGAGTACGAAACGCTTGGGTGCTGTCGGTGCTACTCGTCTTCCAGGATGAGGACCGCGTGATCTCCATCGCGTCTAGTTAGAGACACTGCAAGATATGACTACCAACCGATATTAGTGGCGCACTTGTCAGTTTTTACCCACACTGCCTAAATGAGTGTCTGGATGTGTAGACACCTCAGAATGATTGAGCTAGCAATGAGTCCCTCCCCTGCCAACCTTCACAATAGGGCTTTCAAAAAAATCATGGTTGCGGTAGTGAAACATCGGTGTTGAAAAATGATGTCATGCTGTCAATGCCAGTGGTGAGAAACATGAAAGCTACTGCGAAGCAGCGAAAATTCTCCGCTATCCACATAGTTAACGAACACTGACTGGGCTACCTAATGTTTCAATAATGTTCGCCTGGTCTGTTTGTGCATTTTCACCCCTTGTCAGGATTACAGCAGCTACGGTATTGGCCAAATGAATCAGACCTCGTAGGCTTAAGCCACGAACAAAAATAGGCAACCCGAAAGAGGTAGGGTTGCGGTTGCACTCCTACAACGGGTTACACCATTTTTGTACCTTCTCTAGCCTTATCGACGGAACAAAAAGCACAACTGACTCGAGGTAAATATCGTGTAACTGGAATTCCCTGAGGCATTTGGTCGTGTCAATTGTTGTATTCGTTCAAGCCGAGGGCTAGATACAGCCCAGTGATTAAAGCGCGAATTATTGACCGGAAGGTCCGGCATGCAGAAATTAGCATGTCGTTGTTGAATCCAACAGGGACAAAGCGTTTGTGTCTCAGCTGTTCCTCAAAACATATGGTATTAAGTTTGAACAGCGATAAGGAAAAAGCGAACGAGACAGACAGCAGGATATACGCACATGCTGACTTCTGCAAAGAAAATTGTCAGTTGTTACACACCCTCAAAAAGACCACGCACCCCGAGTGGTCCGCCGACCGTTTTTCGCATACGGCTCCGTTTCTGGAGCCCTCTTCATATTTCATTGCAGTGTGTCCGAACCAACTTGTGTGTACTTCGACTTGGTTCACAAAACGTCGATGATGGTGTCCTTGGACCGTCTGCTTATCTGGTGTTTGCGATTCTACAACCCATAGAACCCAATACTGAGGGTTTACGGTGACCGCTTGCCCTTTGCATGTGAGTCCTGTACCTCCAGCTACCCTATACGTCACAGAGCGGTTACCAAGAACGAAAAACACGTACATCCGTAGTACACTTTAGATGCATGACTGTCGTGCAAGAGGGCTGACATGCTGTTTCACTCCCAAGCCTGAACAGGAGTGGCAGAATATCTGGGCTTAAGTTTGAACCACGGAACTCCCGGTCAGTATCTATGCGCTTCAACTGCTGAGATGTCTCGAATTCAAGATTGGCCCACGATGTTCGTTTACGACGCCGGTGCGGCTCTTTTGCCATTTGCATTCGCATTTCTTGGACCTGGTTCCAATCACCCACAATGTAGCCTCTAGGGAAACTCGATCCACCACTTGTGATCCTGATTCACGTCTCTTTGTCCGCCAACCTGGAGTTTCAAGAAGGTCCTGAGTAGCTGCTCGCTCTTTTCGACAAATAATCTCATTTGCATATCCATTTGGCCTACACGGGAGACTCAGCTGAACCTCTCGTTTGTGATATTCTTCAGCTGAATAGGCTACACAAAGGTCCCCTTATGTTTAAATTGGTATGACATTCGAGACACCTTGTGGGTGGCTTCGATTTCGAAAATACACTCTGATATCTTAAGCAAAATATTAGGCTGATCAAAGGGAAACTCGTGGACTGCACCTTCCTGATGAGCTCCAACAGAGGAACTGGTAGTGGGCTGCCGAAGAGTTTTTAGCAACCACGTGAAGAGTTTTCCAGTTGTCCCCGTGTTTTTATGAGCGGTCCTTGCCGTATTGTCAAACCACTATCTGCAAGCAGTCATTTGCGGCGTTTGATCAGTAAATGTGAAAACCACAAGCATGATTTTGACCCTAGTCACCGAACAAAGACGCCCATCAAGAGGAGTGTTGCATGTAGAACCCCCGCAAGGAAGACATGCAATGCAACTGAGAATATAACAAGTTAAAAGTGAGCATACAACAGGATAAAAGGTACGTAAAATGCCAACAGCGGGGCAAACAACTGCTGCCTGAAACGGGCTTGGTGTATGGGTCCACTGAGTTTGTGGTGCAAAACGGGGACAGCTGAGGGTTTTGCAGCAACGTACGGCAGCTATGTATCTTGTCAGATGTTAGACAATTCACTTGGCATTTGGCGCTCCATCACCAGACGGTCCACTTGGTTTTTTTACTTTACCTCCAGTACCACGACCCCCTGGCGCTTTGCGTTTCTTAACCGTCACTAGTTTGTCCGACCGATTCGTGCGTACACGGAGACTTCGTGCGGCATCCACATCCGCTAATTTTACATCGGACCCAAGCAACACCTTCGCTAAACACCATTCAGCGGTTTATTCATGACTACCAACCTTCTTCAATTGTGCGACTGATGGTGGAACCCTTTTTTAATCTCTTTGTCTTCTTGACAGAGGTCATTTGTCGTGTGTCACCCAGTTTTTCACCACCAAGAATTTCCTTACCTATCTGAAATGGAAACACAAAGAACAAATTAGAGTCTCGATCGGTAGCAAGAATGTGAACACAGATTGACAAAATACAGGCATGTAGTTTGGGAAATTATGTTGTTTTCCAACAGGAGAGGGTTCACCAACCTTTGCTGTCACCACCATCGTGTTCATTTTATGCAGCTGAGGCTTTTCTGCCATTGTTGCTGCCGGCTTTAGGCACTGAACCCAGTGAAATTCTAACCGTCTATTGGTGGACGTTCAAGGTCAACAGACCGCGCATTTCTCGCCCGGACGGGGTATCTGGAAATTCACTGACTGATATACAGGATCGAGACTTTTAATGCCTTTGTTCACCGTCTTTCAATCACATGAAAGATACAAACGAAAACAGTGCATCACCTTCTTTTAAGCTCCCAGTACCGAAAGCAATTACATTACAAAGTATCCAGCGTATGCTGAGAAAATGGTTCCGGGTTAAGTGTCTGAGGATGGCTATTACACGTTCCAACTGCACTGGTGCCTTCCTCCGAGTGACGAGAAGTGCGTCCGTCTATTATTCGGGGGAGACGCAGCGAATGGCTTTGTCATGCATGGTGAGAAAAGACCGGAAGACAGGTAGTGGTCTGCTTACTCAATAAGTTACATTACCAGGAGTGTGTGGCAAAGAAATAAAAATAATAACGCAAGATTGAGTATATAATAATAAAGAGGTCAGATGGAATAGACGCACTGGTAATTGTTCTCTTTAAAGTAGTTCGTCGTTGGCCAAGGTCAGCGAATAAACAATAATCCGATTTTGGTTTCCGTGGATCTTCTTCTGAACAGTTCCCACATATAATAGATCCCGAAGATGGTCTGAAATATTTTGATACCGGAGTTAGCACATGAGACTCGCGAATGAACGTTGCAAGCGCGAGCGAAATCAGAAGAGAGAGTCGAAGCACCTGACCACGTTTGTATTTTGTGAAATTGAACAGGTGCACGTTTTTGTAGTCTTCGTATTCAAACAAAAAACGATTATGCAATTGACGAAATATGTAGTGTTATAATGAAAGCAAAATGAAGGTGCAAATACCCACACTACTCTTCCACCAGGGCGTTGACCGTGAAAGAGGAAAACGCTCAAATAATTAAAGTAACGGATCAAGAATTGCTCATTTCAAGTTTCGTAATCAGCTAAGTGCTGAGGGAAATGGACGCGTCGTCCGGAGCGACTAGTGAAAGGAGTGAGGTTGGCGGCAGAGGTATCTCGGGTAGGTGCGGGTGTGTTTGGGATAGCAGGATTGCTGGATGTGGTCGTGGGTGCTTCAATGTAGGCCGGTTTCAGACAATCAATGGAGACAGTGTCGTGCTTTCCGCTCCTCTCTAAAACAAAGTATTTGTAGTGACGTTCGATAACTTTGAAGAGGCCATCATAACAGAATTGGAGTGGTTTCCTCCTTGCGTCATGTCGGACGAATGCAGATGGTATAGAATGCAGATCGGTTGAGATGTGCTCTTTTCGCTTTGATCACCTTGTCGGTGTCGCAGGTAGTTCGGACATATGCTGTTTGAGACGGGTGACGAATGTGATGGGTGATTCGGGATGTGTGCCAGAAGGGAAAACAGTTCACCGGGTAAACGTAAAGTTATACCGTATACTATTTCGCCTGGTGAACACTGAAAATCTTCCTTAACAGGGGAGCGAATGGCAAGCAAAATGAGGGGCAAAGAAGAGGACCATAATGATGGGTTCGTTTGGGCAGCTCTGAGGTAGCGATGGAAGCAAGGGTAATACGCGGTGGTCGAAACGTGATGGAAACCTAATAGTGTAGAAAACTCACGGAAGAGAGTACACTGAAATTGTGAACCACGATCAGTGGTAACGGAGGAAGGTATGCCAAAGTTACTCACCCAACGCTGCAAAAACGAAAAGATCACCGTTTCAGCGGAAGTAACATAAATGGGTACAGCAACTGGAAAAACGGGTAAAACGAGCGATCGTGGTAAAGATATCCGCGAAACCGTTTGATGGGAAAGGTGGACCAAGAATGTCGAGATGAACGTGTGTGAATCGAGCATCAGGAACGGCAAATGAACCGATAGGTGAGTTCGTATGCTGAGTTACTTTGCTGGGTGGACAGGCGATGCACTGTTTGGCCCAGGATTTCAGGTCCTTATTCATGAAGGGACATACAAAGCGTGCACTAATCAACTTCCTGGTCGCTCTGATTCCTGGATTAGAAAATCCACGGAAGTGGTCGAAAACAACGCATCGAAAAGCTTCGGGGACGATTGGGCGAGCTGATCCGGTAGACATATCACAAAAAATGGTTCCGGATTGGAGGGGTAACGGAATTAAAGAGACTTGAAATGAAGGGAACGATAGAACGGTTCGCCAGCTTGGCTAGGTGCAACTGCATGGAAGGGAGAAGAGCGTTGATGTCAGGACGGGATAGGGCATCTGCGACGACATTGTCCGAACCTGGAGCGTACCGAATGTCGGTAGTGAACTGTGAAATATAGTCGAGATGGCGTATCTCGCGTGGTGAATATCGATCAGGCTTGGCGTTAAAGGCATACGTAGGTAGCTTATGGTTGGTTTGAATGGTAAACGATCTACCTCCTAACAAGTACCGGAAATGGCGAATAGCATGGTAAATTTCGAGTTATTCACGACCAAAAGTACTGTAACGCGCTTGGGCAGCCTGCATCTTCTGCGAGAATAAAGCCAATGGTTGAGATGCATTGTTAGCAACTTGATGAAGTACGGTGCCGACGGCAGCGTTTGAAGTATCAGTTGTCAAAATCAGCTTCGTACTTTCGTGAGTACCAAGGAAAGATAACTTTGTGGCGTGATCAATGGCCTGCTTGGCTCTTTAGAAAGTGGCATTGCCAGCATGGGGCAAAATAACAGATTTTCTTTGCAGCAAAGTAAATCGGTCAATGGCTGCATAATATCTGCACAATGGGGGATGAATCGCCGATACTAGTTGATGATATCGATGAATCGACGAAGTTGGGTGAGCGTGATGGGTAATGGAAAAGACTCTGGGGCCAAAATGCGATCGGGTAATGGTGAAGTACCTGTGGGATCAATGTGGTGGCCAAGAAAATCAAGGCTAGTACCACCGAATAAGCATTTATCAATGTTTAAACGTATGTTGTAAGTGGAAAGACGTTCAAACGCTGCCGTAAGATGAGCTGCATGCTCATTTGGGGAGGTGCTAGCGATTAAAACATCGTCACGATAGGCATACACAAAAGGTGAACCACCTGAAACTTCGTCCATGAGACGTCGAATCGTTTGAGCTGCATTTCGAAGACTGAATGACATACGCGTGAATTCGAAAAGGCCAAACGGTGCTGTGATGGCTGTTTTAGGGATGTCATCCGGGGCTACGGGTATGTGGTAGTATGCACGTACGAGATCGAGTTCGGAGAGTGTTTGCGCGGCGTAATTTACTTGCGGAATCGTGGATATGTGGGATGGGATACCTGTCTGAGATAATAGCGTTACTGAGAGAACGATAATCTCCACAAGGTCTCCAATCACCTTTAGATTTCTCGGGTACCATATGTAGGGGTGATGGCCAATGACTCGATGAAGGGCGGATGATGCCGAGTTCGAGCATGTGTACGAACTCGTGTTTTGCGATTTTTAGCTTATCCGGATGAAGTCGGCGGTAGTTATATGGACAGATGGACCTCTCGATCGGATGTGGTGAACGACGGAATGGGTGACTGGTTGGGTGTACTTACATGGATGAGCAAGGGTTGGAAAATCCCTATATCAGCAAAATGTGATAACTCGGATAACTGTGGATGAAGTTGGGGCACCAAATCCGTTGACTGAGAGGGAAGTTAGCATGTCCAAGAGGCGTTCATGTCGAACATCGACAGATAAGTTGAATCGAGTCTGGAAGTCCGTACCAATGATGGGTGTTTTGACGTCGGCCAAAAGAAAGATCCACTTGAACGCACGTCGCAATCCGAGGTCAAGCGTGAGGGAAAGTTCGCCGTGTGTAGCGATGCGGGTAAGGTTCGCGGCTCGTAACAAATAAGAAGCATAATCAGGAAGTGGATTCTTATGTGGTAGCACACTAACTTCAGCTCCCGTATATACGCGGAAACGTAGACCACTTGAACGATCGGTGATTTGGAATAGGCGACTAGTGCGAGGAGGACCACAGAAGGTCGTCGCTGTCACTGACTGGACGGGGTGTTTAAAGGGGTGTTGGTACGTGGCTTGAGGGAACAAGGCGGTTGGCATTTGCGTGCCTGAGGATGGGAAGTTTGATGATACCAGCACCAAGAAGGACAGGCACGAGACAACGATCGGGATCGTGAACGTGGTCGATGCTCGTTGATCTCTGGCCGTTGCAGGCGATCGGTCAGAGTATCAAACTTAGCTTGCAGTTGCGATATGGAAGTAAGAATCGTATCGGAATCTGTAGAAGCCGTAAGTATAAGGCGGAGACGGAGTTCACGGGGTTACTGGGATATTCTCCGTGGATTTTATCGGCCATCTGGCGTGGCTGCTCCAAGTTGTGGTCATCAACAAAAGTGCTGATGACGTGGGACATGGAACGTGAAAGTTTGTCGAGCCATAGTTGGGCCATGATTTTCACCGCTAGCTTACGGTCGCGGGGGAGACTGCGCATGTGGTGAAGCAGCTGTGACGGCGATCTGTCAGCAAGCACGACTGTGGTGAATAAGTCTAGTAGTAATTTGTTTTCTGATTTCCCTGTCCTACTGATGACGGCCGCTCGAAGGGCGTCATAGGGATTTCCCTTGGGAATATCCTCCAAAAGATCTTACAGTTCTGTTGCCGCACCACAAGTATGATTCTGGACAATATAGGAAAATCGGGTGACTTGGGAATTGATGCGTCGGGTGGTAAAATTGCCACCACCTGGTGAAACCATACCCTGGGATTGCGTGGATTATAGTCCGTTAAACGGATGCTAATTGCATTCTCAACTAAATCCGATGAACCAATCTGTGCCTCCATAACGACCGGGCATAGTAAACAAAATTATGGCGACTTGAAAGGAAAGGTTTTCAAAAAATATTTAAGAATAATCTGGATCACCAAATTTGTAGTGGTCCGCCTACCCAATAAGTTACTTTGCCAGGAGTATGTGGCAAAGAAATAAAAATAATAAGGCAAGATTGGGTTATCGAATAATAAACAGGTCATATGGAATAGAAGCACTAATAATTGTTATAATAATAATGTTTATTCCCAACTTG